TCCTGCAAACCACACATGTAGTTTTATCCAGAAGTATAGTTCCATATTTTGGGTATTACAGGGTGAAAACCAGTTATTTAATATGTTGAATCTGAAAGTATATCTTATTAAATAATTTTTATGTGACTAAGTTCTAGGTGTGTTATAATCGAACATGAAGAGCATTGTCTGAAATGGAACAGCTTTAAGTGATCTACTGACTTTTGCCTATTTGATTAGATTTTAGATTGAGCTCTAAACAGACAACATGCAAGGAGGAATGGGATCCAGCCAGAAGAAAGTGATTGAACAGTGAAGGTATGCTAGTTTCACATTTTTCGTGTTTGATCTTTTGTTGATTTTTTCCTTCTCTCATATAATCTCTTTCTTTCCTCCCTCTTCTGGTCTGTTGTGTTTGCATTTGGTAGGTTGAGGGCCTATAAACATCTTATCAGAAAAATGTTGGAAGGAGGGTAAGGGGCATATCAGAGTCAAGAAGGGTGCTGGGTATAGAGGAGCCTGTAGAGGAGAAAAGGAGGCACAAAAGACATAGTCATGCTGGAGGGTTTTGGTCTTTTTCCTTCCTTTTTAAAATCTGAAATCTCTAAGAATGTGTTATTTGAATTGGATATGTAGCCTCAAGTTTGAGTTTAAAACCCATGATATCTTCCAGGACTGCACTATACATGACTTGTCCATGTTTGGAATTATTGCAGATTTGCTGCTGCACTTGAAATTCACTCCCTGCCTTAATCCAAAGTAACTTTCAAGTGTAGACAAGCCTAAGAGTTCAACTTACCTTTAGCAAAAGTTTTAGGTGTTCAAGGAATGCAGGATCATTTAGTAAGGAATGTAGAATTTTACCTAATTAGTTTGTATTAATGAGTTATTTCCTAAGAAGCTTTTAATGGCTTAAGTATATTAACTAAACCTTCCTATTAAAGGTTGTTGGGTAGAGTCATATGACTAAAACAATGGAGTTACTGCAGCATAACAATCCATATCTAGTCAGCAACCTATGGTAAGTGCTTCTAGACCTTTCTTTTCCTTGCTTTCAGCAGCACAATAAATCAGCTTAAACACAAAGCTAATTTCAAGTAACAACATTTTACCTCAGAGATGGACAGAATGGATGTGTTGGGCAATGACTGTACTCATCTGAATGTACTCCCTGTGCTTGACCCCAGTTCCAAACCTACCTTATGTACAAGATACCCTTTCAGGATGCCTATTCATCCATTTGCTTTTTGAAATTTAGTGAATTAGCATGCTTACTCTTTTCTGGACTTTCAAAACTACTCGTAGTTCTTTAGTGGTTCTTAGTGGTTCAAGAGCATGGCTGCTGGCCTGTTTTTTGGATCCACTGTTACAGAACCTGTATTGTCTTCATTAGAATATGATCCATAAATTTAAAAGCAAACAGGAACAGTTCTTAGGAGAGTGTGGTCTTTCCTAGCTTTCTTTTCCTTTTCTAATGCTTTATTGGTTGGGACAATCTTTTAGCCTTGAAAAGATTCTAGACACTGTATGAAGTAACAGAGTTTTCATGAGAATTAGTCCTTACTAATGTCCAAAAATAATTTCTTTACGACAAGAAAACATTTTCATACTAAATTGTTCGTTTATAGAAGTCTGTGTTTTCAATTAGAATCTCCAAGTCATTTTGGGAATAAACATTTTGTAGAGCTGTTGTACCCTTTGTTTCTTTTGGTGGGTGAAGCCCGTTTAAATAGTGCTATAAATAGATAAGTGATCATCAGATGCCCACATCCTGCAGCAACTATTTAAAGTGCACTTGGACTTGTGGCAGTGGGTTGATCAGAAGAATCTGTTAATTAGCAGGCAGTGTATTCAGTGCCCCATCAGACAGCACACAATCCCCAGCTCCACGTTTACTCCCAGTCTAACGTCATTACAGAAGGCACAGAAGATTATTACCCAGACAATGACAGGTTTACTGCTAAAGTTTCAACAAGTGAATCCTAATTCTCTTTTCCAACTCAACTTATTCTGTGATTCTATGAATATAGAATGGTATCCAAATGAATAACGTGTCCTGGGAAGGATTAGTTAGTTCAGGTTGGATGCCATTTTAACAGATTGATGCTGCTCCTGGTGTGGGTGACCTGAACTCAGCTGGCTCCTCAGTGTAGGTTAGGGATTTACAACTATAACATGACATTAGTAACTGAAATCAGTGTAGAACTTTTTGAGAGCAGTAAATGAGTAGTTATTATTCACAGGAGTATCCCTACTGTATTTTCTGGGAAAGGAGGAAAAAAATTAAGAGTGATGTTTATAGTTTTAACAGTGCGTATTTTTTAAGACTACATTTACTTAGGCTTAATTCTGTAGCACCATGAAAACCTCTTATCCTCCTGCAAAAGTGAACTGTCACAGCTTTCATACATTTTAGTGAGGATAATATATTACATTGCTGGATTGGGCCAATGCCTGCGAAGTGAAATAATCCTGCCTGGGACTGAAGTTAATCACTAGATCAGCAAATACTTAAAAAGTAAGTAAAAATGTAAATCGTGTATGTAATTGTGCTCCTCAGCTGCAAAGATTGAACACTATAGTTAAGATTACAGGGATTTTCCATGGTTTTAAGAGCAAATTATGTGTTTTCAGTCATGAAATATAAAAAGAAAAAAATGCCAAAGCATTTTTAATGTATATCATTATGTTCCTGGGTGAGCCAGCCCATGTGCCTAATTGTACTTTAATGTGGCAATTTGTCATGGCTTCAGCCTTTGAACATCATGTACATCAACTGAGTTACATATCAGTGTATAACTAAAAATCAGTGTTCTCTGTGTCTTAGTCTTCAACTTTTTCAAACACCAGGAAAAGTGGTGTAAATCCTAGACTTTGGTCAAGGATGCTGACTACCTAACAGAAATGGCTCCATGGACAAGAATCAGGTCTTACCAACATCACTGAAAATGCTGAAAATAATTTGGCTAAGATTAGACCTATGTACAAACAATTTGACTTTACAAAGGCCTGTGCATACATATTTGATGTCACACACTTGAACAGCTCTTATGGCTGCTTATTTGAGTGAACCTAATCTGTTTGATTTAATCTGTGCAGGATTGGGACCTAAATGAGTAATTAAAATAAAAATAATGTGTCTGCTTAAGTTTCAATCCCATTTTTAATCAGCAGTCTGGAATTTTAACTAGCAGAAATATAGTAAACACACAATATGCCTTGAAACACATATATTGCTGTAGATTATTAGTTTTCTTCTCTGTTGAAGGGACTTCCCCCACCTCCACATCCCTCTTGCAAAAATTTTGCATTTTACATGTGAGAGTGATAAGAGAGGAGGTATGTCATGCTTCAACATGCACAACTTTTCAAACGCTAAAAATAAATAAAAAATTCTCTAAGTGAGCTTAGGCTGCCAACAAGCAGTCTGAACTTGTATTTTACTTGTTTCTGCAGGTTTTTCTCCAAGTTTTGTAAGCTTGTTTGCAGAAATATTTAATGTAGACTAAATGCTTATTATTTACTTTATTTCCTTGCTACAGCTCTCATATACAGATAATGTAGAAGTTTTGAGGACTGGTCTTTGGGGGACCCAGCCATTGAGTGATGCGTGGTGCATGCAGCAGAACTATGAGTAAGGCTTGCCCAAACACAAAGAGGTCAAAGGTAAATGGCAGTGGATCATTCTAGGCTACAGATTGGCATTTCAAGAGTGGCTAAATTGTGTCTGAACTCTTGTAACACGCCTGTTGGGTAGATGTAAGAACTTGGCATTCATGACTCAGGGCAAAGGGCCTGAAGTCAAAGAGCATTATGAAAAAATTAACTCACCCCTAATCACCTCAGTAAGAAAGCCAATTAAAATAGTAAAATTTTGCTGAAATATCCTGAAACTCCTCTCTGCTTCTCTGTATCTCCACATGGTCTCCATGCCTACACAAGAACAAGTGCTTATTTGGATAATAATAGGAGAGAGGCTCAATTCTGTGATGGGAGTTTTGCTGTAATACTTTGCCGAGTTCTAATACGGCTCTCATTACCATGACCTTTAGAGGACCTATAGGTTCAGAGAGCAGCATAAACCTGACTTTGGACTGTGTCAGAAACTAACTGTTCATCCTGATGAAGGATAGAGATATGGTTGAAATGAGCAATAGGTGGAAAGGCCTCATCCGTGGTGTACTTCCCTTAATGACAGTTTGCTCCAAAACTCGACAGTCTTGAAGCTGGGGGATTTGACAGCCTTAAGCGTGCCTTCTGTGCTTTCTGTTATTTTCTAGCGTAATGAACCTCGAGTGATCGGGATTAGTTTGCTGTGCTGTAAACGATGCCAGCTCTGCGGTGTTGGCCAAAACTCGTTCTGATGTAGGCTTTAGGCTGCCCTCGGCTGGGACGGCAACACTGAGGGGGCGGCCGGGGCCTCGCTCTGCGCCAGCCGCCGGTGGCAGCTGGGCCCGCTCGGGGACTGCAGGGACGTACCTCGGTGCACAGGGCAGGGCACCGTCACACCGCTGCTCACACTGGGCCCGACACCGAGCGCAGCCCAGGCTCCGTTATGGACGCGGTGCCGGGCGGCCTCACGCGGTTTCGAGGCCGGTAACTTAAACGGCCGTTGCTGCCCCGGCTGCCGGGAGCGGGGTCTTTGCCTCCCGCCCCAGCTGCACGGGGGAGTTCCGAGCCGCTGGCTGCCAGCACAGCCGGGCCGTGCGCGACCTCGGGGTCCCCTCACGGCTCCCGGCGGGGCGGGCGGGGCTCAGGTGCGGAACGGGACGGGACGGGACGGGGCAGGGGCGGCGGCGCGCGCTCGCTGCACGCGGGCGCGGCCCTCACGGCGCCGGCTCCGCCCCGCGCCCAATGGCGGCACCGCCCGCTCCGCCCGCCCCGCCCCGCCCCGCGCGCCGCGGGGTTACTGCCGGGCCGGGGGCCGGCCGGGCGCACACGCGCCTCCTCCGCCCCCGCCTCCGCGCCGCCTCCTCCGCGCACCGGGCAGCACTAGCCGGCGCCGGGCGGCCTTGGTGAGGGCTGTGTTCCTGTCCCGGCCGGCGGTGCACATGGCGTAACCGCGCCGCTGCGCGCCTGCCCCGCGGGACGCGGCGTGGACAGACCTGCCGCCAGGTAGGTGCGGCGGCAGCGACGCCCGCCCCGACAGCGGCGTTTCGGGCTAGGCGCCCCGCAGGGATGGGCGCGAAGTTTACGCCCCTCGAGATGTCACCGTGCGCGGGCTGGGCGGGAGGGTCCCGGGGGGCTCCGCCGGGCGCGGGTGCGGGAGCTGCCGGGGGCGGTCAGCGTGCGGAGTGCCGGGAGCGGCTCCCCCCTCGGCACCGTGCGAGCTGCGGACTCCCTCTGGGAACTGAGGGGAGAGCCGAGAGGTGGGCGGCTGGGGAGGGGAGCTACAGGTGTCCCAGCGACAGTCACTGTGTGCGGCTGGTTGGAACGTGCTGGGCGAGTTACGGGCACCGAGCGAAATCCTCAGAGGCTCGCTCTGCTGTGCTCTCGTGTGTCTTTGTACCCTTCAGGAGGCCAGGTGAGAGCTCGGCAGTGTGCGAGCAGAGCGTGAGTTTAGTGTAAGTGAGCAGAATATAAAGGCCGATATAGTGTCCCTTCAGTGCTGTTTCACTGAGGAGTTGCTGACATGTGTAAGTTACTGCTGCGTGTTTTGCAGGGCATGCACTGGAGTCAAGTCACTGCAGGCTTCCGAGTATGGCTTTCCTAATAATAAGAAGAACGTGGCTTCAGTGTTAGATGTAAATTAAGAAACTTTTTAAACACGAGCTTTCCCCAGTTTCAAGTGCACTTGTAATTCCAAAGCCATTGTCATTGCTGTCAAATAGCACAGGATGTGATACTTCTTGTCCCTTTCAAAAAAAGACTTCTTCAGGTGTAGTGTGCATGTGCAGTTGTGCCTTTTCCACTTGTTGTGAGTGTAACCAGATGTACATCTACTTATCTTAGTTCTCTTAAGCTGTAGCTGTTAAAATTTATTTGCTCTCATTTATTATTCTCTTCTCAAATGTGTGATCATCAGCACAGTTAATTTTTTACAGAATATTTCTGATAGTGTTTCTAAGTTGTTAGAGAGACACTTGTGCGTATAAGTACCATGATTTTGTTCAAAGAAAAATTTTTCTGGTTGGGCCTGTATTTATACTTATCTAAGTTTATCTGCTTTTGCTTGGTGAGGTCAAACAGGCTGATATTAGACCCCCAGTTGAGAGAAAACCCAAAGTGAGAGAGCTGCCTGCTCACTAACTGTGGCATGAATTAGGTTTGCCTCATGGTGACCCGGAGGACTGATACTATTTTAGTCTCATATGTGGAAGACTTTACCTATGTAAATGAAGTGTCTTCCCAATACAAAATCTATTTGTTTATTGCCACTTAGGGAGATTATTTTATTTCCCTTACAGTCTATGCTTTTTCCATTAATTCCTGCCATAGCATGAGCTGGTAGCTGGGATTTAATTAGCACTGCACAGATGTCCTGTCAAAGTATTCCCAACAAGAGTGTTAGTAAAATGTTGATGGAAGATGCTTATTCATTTGAAGAGCTCCAGTTTAACCCATGAAAGCTTAGAGGGCTTGAGCTCCAGCTGAGGGGGAGCTGCTCTTCGAATGCAGGCGGGGGGAGGAAGGGAGGGACGCGTGTTGAGAGGGGGGAGCAAGGTCATTGGCTTCCTTCAGTGAAGAGTCCTTTACTCTGAAACTTGCTTCCCCCAATTGTTTGCTGCAGTCCAACCTTTTCAAGTTTAAAGTGACACTTCAAATTTTTCTCTCTTGACATGCTTTCTGTCTCTGGGGAGATCTTGTTTTGTTGTTGATTTTGATGCATGTTTTGTGTGTCCAGAGCTTCATCTAGTCAAAATGTGTAAGTGATATCCACTAAGGATATGAATTCTTTTAAAAAGTAACTTTCAGTTGTCGTTCCTGGCATGCAATACATATTTTCATACCCCAGCATCTTGATGCCTACCATAGGAACAGCGTTTGGAACTCAATTGCTAAACCAGCAGGGGGAACACAAAACTTTCTGTCTGTGAAGTCTCTCCTCCTTCCACAGCTGTAATTTATTAAAACTTTGGGCCTATACTTTTGATAGTATTTCTTTAGAAAGTGAATGTTAATTTACCTGGAACACACACAGACGTTGAAATATTGACATAAACATATTGTTTTCAAATACTTATTTATGAATTTCCTCTAGTAAACATACTCCCATTCTTCTGAATGCAATTTTTGGTATATTAGCCGTTACTGACTTGCAAAAACATTAGATGTTTATTCCAGTGCAATTTCTCTTTGAAGATGTTTGAAGTGAATTAAACCCAAGAAATTATGTTTTGAGTAATCCTGCAAAGTTTCAGATAATGAACTAGACAAAATATTTTCTTAGTGGAACTATTATTGTGTCACATTTATGATTGTATATAGACATCTTGAGAGCTCAAGCTGACTTGCAAATCAGTTGCATTCTCGCAAGAAACTATTTCTAGTATTTAGGATTTCCATAAGAGAAAATATTTTTAGATATTCTTTTAGGTTTTAAGGAGTCGTTCCTAGCTTATTCCTGTAGAGGTCAACTGACAGTCCCAGCATGGAGCAATAATGATTTTCCTTTTCGATTCATATTGGCATAATGATTAAGTCTTTTGTAGCAGGAATAGTGACTATCAAGGCTGTTGCCAAAGAAGGTTATGTGGATGGCTTGTACCAATCCATACTGTTTTCTGGTCTGTGAAGTCTGGTGCAGCCAAATGGCCAATACGGAAGGTACGGATGTACAAACAGATGGCTGAATGCCAAGTGAAGAATGGGAATTTACAGCATGTCAGGTCTTCCCCAGTAAGAGCTGGGGAACAGGCTCTTACCCACGGTAAATGTGAGAATCTTGCTGCTTCTACTTGAGGTTAAGCCACCTTTCACTGATGGTGGGATAAAAACATTCCAAGGTGCATTTGCTATGGAGTAGCTAATTTGCTGCTTGTGAGTGATAACAATTGTATATTCCACCAGCTTTAGGTGTTAGAGCAAGTACAGACACTATAGAGTTCAATTGAAATTAATAGTCCCAGGTCAGGTTTAAAGCAAGATATGTAAGCTCTGGTTCTGGAATGGCACTAACTGCATAGTGAGGTATAAAATATATATATATGAATATAAAGTATATGCATATTTCAATGGCCATGCATTGTTCTCTAAGAGCATTACATGGTGTGGCCAGCTACTGAAGGTGCAAAAAATGTATGTTAAATTCCATTGGCAATCTTGATTTTCTTTTATTTTCATGGAATCCCAAAACTTTCTCTCCAGATTGTTCTCTGAGATGCTGACGTCTGTAAAGCCAAACTGAAATTTCTTCTTTAATGTGATTTGAAAATAACAGTAAATCTTTGCCTAATTTATCTTACAATTCTTTTCTTTGATACCTCCAATAATATTGTGTTAACATTTAAGACATGAATTACCAAGTCTTGGGCCATTTATGTGACTCTCAGAAAATTCTCTCTGGGATATATGTTGTAAATATCTTTGCAATCACATGGTTTTTGATCTAGTTCCAGAAAATATTTGTGTATTATAAATAAGCATTACTTCTATAGCAGTAATATTTGTGGTGATTAACAGTGGTATGCTAGTTTCTAGCCACTTCATGAATAGAAGCATGTTTTGCCATAAAAATGTACTAGCAAAAAGTAGTGCAATTGGAATTGCTTTATCCATCGCTGTGGATTCGCATTTTTATGTGCTGGCAGTCATCCAATAGAGCAGCATTTCTTGTGCTATTGCAGCAACAATTAACTCTGTGGTAACCAAAATGAAAGAGATTTACACATCACTGGAAATCGTGGAAGGAAGGACTTTAAAGCTACCACTTTATTTATATTCCTTTTTTTTTATTTCAAGTATCATAAAATAGATATTTTTGAAGAAGAATTTAATTTATGACCTTTATTATCTAAGTAGTCGTATTTGTCGAGTTCATCAGAGAATATTTCATATATTGCATTTTAAGTGTAATAACTGTAGATTTGTACTGCTTACAAATACTTACGACTTAGAAGTTATGCTAGTTTCTGATGTTTCTATAATGAAATGAATGGTGTTTTTGAGGAAAATGTGAAAATAATTTCATCTTCATCCTGTGAATAGTACTTCAAAATGAGCTACACCTGCTTGTTGTTAACAAATTCAATTGCATTATGTTTAGCACTTCTCTGTAATTGTCTATTTAATTTCAATACACCAGTTGGTCAAAATCAGATTTTTTTTTTTTTTCCTTCTTTCCTCCTGTACAATGCTGTAAAGTTTTGAGAGTCAGCTGGAAGGGGCCTCTCTTTTAGATAATTTCAGTTGTGACCTTGCATGAGACCTGTTTAGATTGCAGGAGAACAGCTTATCTAGAGGTCTTGGGTCTGAAACAAGTTAATTATAGAGCTACTGTGTAGAGGTTGCCTTCCTTCACAGAAGGCAACAGGGGCTGTGATACATAAGGTGTAAGTGATTCTAAAGAATAATGGCAATTCACTTATTCTCTGATTCTCCTTTGTAAGCATAGGCATTTTCTGTTGGAATTTGGTGAGTTACATTGTGTGAGTCAGGGACAATAAAAAATCCCACAGTATCCAGTGAACTTGCTGTGTAGTATAAATTTGCTGAATTCATGTATTTCTTTGCCAAGAAGCTGGAGGTGGGTTGAAGACTGATATGTCCTCTTTTGCCTTGTTTTGCCTCTTTTGACAAGTTGTTAGACTGTAGCTGCATTTGACACTGTGTGATTAAGAGCTATGGTAGCATTTCATCACACACAGCTATATATTGTTTTTGACAATGATTTGAGTGAAACAAAATTCTGTTCTATTTTACAAAGCAGGTCTTGTGGTATTTGAGAAGATGAGCCTTTTCTTGTAATAAAGCTGTTGCATTAATGAACCAAGTCACTCCTCCAGTATGTACAGCTCGTGTTCTGTGATAGATTGGTTCCTCCCTCCAGCAGTTAAAATCACCAGTATTTCTAAATACTTGTAGATCTGGTTCACTCCAGTGATGAGGTGTAGCAGTTTCCTTCTGGCAGAAAGATGCATATATTATTTATATGATTACAGGAATTTGTTCCCTCT